GTGACTGACAGCTGGCTCTGCCTATCTAGAGGCAGAACCAGCTGTACCCGCCCCCTCCCCCGTCCCGTTCCGCCCATCAACGCTGGAGGACCGGACAGGGGAGGGGGGGATCCCTGCCGGGAGCCATGAGTGACAGTCACCGCTCTCTGCAGGGACAGGATCGAGAAGTGAGTGAGCGACGGTATGTGTTCTCTCAACCCCCCTATCTATTAAGCCCACGTGTGACAGTTTCATTGTCACAGGTCGGCTAGAACTATGAGGTGAGTGGAAATCACTCATCCTCATAGTTCGAGCCGACCTGTGACAATGAAACTGTCACACGTGGGCTTAATAGATAGGGGGGTTGAGAGAACACATACCGTCGCTCACTCACTTCTCGATCCTGTCCCTGCAGAGAGCGGTGACTGTCACTCATGGCTCCCGGCAGGGATCCCCCCCTCCCCTGTCCGGTCCTCCAGCGTTGATGGGCGGAACGGGACGGGGGAGGGGGCGGGTACAGCTGGCTCTGCCTCTAGATAGGCAGAGCCAGCTGTCACTCACGTAGCTGGGTGCATCCAGACAGTATTGTCGGGATCCGTCCCGGCTGTGGCAGTCTTAGTATACCGCGAGCTGTGGCTCCCTATATACTGAGCTTATATATACCTATATACCCGTGTATACTGAGCTATATACGCTAGTTTATGTCCTCCCGTGACCCTTGGGAGAACTATGGGGAAAAACACTGACCCCCATAGTTCTCCTTTAAAGGGAATGTATCATTTTTGTAGCATGAACATTTTTATTAACCATTCATTTCAGGTCATTAAATGTTTGTAACCCACCATATTGGTAACGAGGAGTAACAGTTTAGAGATGAAGGGCGTTGAATGAGCTTTTAATTGTATATGCTGTATAAGGATATAATAAAATAAATTATATGGCCAAAAGTTTTTCGACACTTGACCTTCACCTCTACTGCATGGCCAAATTTATGTTGTCACCCCTCCAAATGATTAAATGATTGAGTTCAGGTGCTTCCAGTGAAACTCCTGTTAATGCGACAGCATACAACATAGGGATGCACCGATACCAATACTAGTATCGGTATCGGAGCCAGCCAATACCCAGTATTTGGGCGAGTAATCATACGCGCCCAAATGCTCCCAATGCCTATCCCGATACCGGAACTTCCGGTATCAGGAAGCCGGGGGGGCGAGTCATTAAACGCTGCCCGACTTCCTGATTGGCAGGGAAGCTAGGGGAGATGTGTAAGGACCACACACGTCTTCCCGCCCAGCTCTTAGCAACCTGGGATGCTCTGGCCGGCGTCCCGCTCTGCTCCTGGCAACCATTGAGGTCAAATAACCTCGCACCTCACAATATATATCCAGACACATTCAGTAAGGCACAGCGAGGAGTCAACAGTAACCCATAATAAGCCAACCTAATGCTGTCACATCATTGGATGATGATCGGTAACCGGCTGCTATGGGTGACCCCCGTCTGCTGATCAGCGGCGCACTTTGCATTGTCTTACCAAACGAGCCGTCTCACTGTATTAAAGTCATGTGACATGTGAGAATATCGGCCTTGCACATGATCTCATTACATTATGGGATCGCCGATCCCCGGGGGCCTTTGATGAACCTAGCATGGGTGATTCAGCATCCAAAATGATGCCATGCACAGTAACCAATCTTAAAATATCAATACTCTAATGTGGACACGCCGCAGGCGTTCCGATCGAGCTTTTCATTGCCATTCTTCTTTTAAAGGGCCACAGAACCTAAAATTAATTTTATGTTACCTTGAAGTAGACCCAGTCGTTAAAATCTCAGCATAAGATTTAATCTGTCATTTGTATTACGCTTCAATCGGCAGCTTTTACTAGAGGTAGTTTGCAAGTGCAGGCACTTCCTGATATAGGGTGACAACGCTTCTACCCCCGTCTCCCAGTTTTGTTCATGCGTTGTCACCCGGTCACATGAGCTCTCGATGGAGACCACAAGTGGCCATTTTAAGACATATGACGCAGGAATGGTCCACTGTTGTCACTATTAGGAAACCCATCGTGAGGAATGCCAGGCAGCCATCGCTGCATGTAGGCAGGAATGGCTGCAAAAAGGCTGCAGGGGGCCAGCGTCACTCAGATTTAAAAAAGAATGAAGAAAGGTGAATTTTTTTTTTTTTTTTTTAGGAAATTTGTGGTCACCAGAACTAGTGTCCCCATTGGAAGATTTCCCATCTATTCCTGTTCTCATGACAACCCAAACTTTGGGAATGTCATTCACGTTTATGATAATGGTCACCAGGACCAGGGATGAGCTCAGGTTGGGACCGAACCTGGACCCAACCTGAGCTCCTCAGAACATGGAAGTGCTATGGGTCGCCTCCCCAAATAGCTGTGGGCTGGGGCATTCCTTGCCCTGCAGCTGCACATAAAGGGGTGGAGTGCTTGTTGTGACATCATTGACCTTACATGGTCACATGGCCATATTAGGCCAACGTCATTGACCAAATATAGACATGTGGCCATATAAGGTCAATGACATCACAGCATGCCACCCCTTTGCTTACGTGAAGCTGCTGGCGGGGAATTCTACAGACACAGCTGATTGAAGAAGCTTCCTTCCTGGTTTGGAGGAGCTCAGGTTCGGGACCAGGTTCAGTCCAAACCAGAGCCAAAAACTCATTGGGGCTTTAACAATGTATCAGTTATATCGAATGGACTCAAGAATGGGGATGAACTCATCATATCAGGTCCAAACCTGAGGTCCCTTAAACCCATAATGGACATGGGGCCACCTGCCCAATCAGCTTTAAGATGGGGCATTGCCCGCCCTGGGACTGGATGCCTGTGCTGACATCTTGACCTTATAGGGCCACATGGCCATGATAGGTCAATGTCATCGACCAAATATGGCCACAAGCCATGATAGGTCAATGTCATCGACCAAATATGGCCACAAGGCCATGATAGGTCAATGTCATCGACCAAAAATGGCCACAAGGCCATGATAGGTCAATGTAATCGGCCAAATATGGCCACAAGGCCAGGCCATGATAAGTCAATGTCATTGACCAAATATGGCCACAAGGCCATGATAGGTCAATGTCATCGACCAAATATGGCCACATGACCATGATAGGTCAATGTCATAGACCAAATAGGGCCACATGACCATGATAGGTCAATGTCATCGACCAAATATGGCCACATGACCATGATAGGTCAATGTCATCGACCAAATATGGCCACAAGCCATGATATGTCAATGTCATCAGCCAAATATGGCCACAAGCCATGATAGGTCGATGTCATCGGCCAAATATGGCCACAAGGCCATGATAGGTCAATGTAATTGACCAAATATGGCCACATGGCCATGATAGGTCAATGTCATCGACCAAATATGGCCACAAGCCATGATATGTCAATGTCATCAGCCAAATATGGCCACAAGCCATGATAGGTCGATGTCATCGGCCAAATATGGCCACAAGGCCATGATAGGTCAATGTAATTGACCAAATATGGCCACGTGGCCATGATAGGTCAATGTTATCGACCAAATATGGCCACAAGCCATGATAGGTCGATGTCATCGGCCAAATATGGCCACAAGGCCATGATAGGTCAATGTAATTGACCAAATATGGCCACATGGCCATGATAGGTCAATGTCATCGACCAAATATGGCCACAAGCCATGATAGGTCAATGTCATCGACCAAATATGGCCACAAGGCCATGATAGGTCAATGTCATCGACCAAAAATGGCCACAAGGCCATGATAGGTCAATGTAATCGGCCAAATATGGCCACAAGGCCAGGCCATGATAAGTCAATGTCATTGACCAAATATGGCCACAAGGCCATGATAGGTCAATGTCATCGACCAAATATGGCCACATGACCATGATAGGTCAATGTCATAGACCAAATAGGGCCACATGACCATGATAGGTCAATGTCATCGACCAAATATGGCCACATGACCATGATAGGTCAATGTCATCGACCAAATAGGGCCACATGGCCATGATAGGTCAATGTCATAGACCAAATAAGGCCACATGGCCATGATAGGTCAATGTCATCGACCAAATATGGCCACAAGCCATGATAGGTCAATGCCATCGACCAAATATGGTCACAAGGCCATGATAGGTCAATGTCATCGACCAAATATATCCATGTGGGCCATTTAAGGTCAATGAGGTCGCGGCATCCCACCCCTTTGGTGACCTGCAGTTGTGGGCGGGGAGCTCCCTAGCCGTAGCTGATTGGGCCACGGGAAGGAACTTCCTTCTGCGTTCGGAGGAGCTCAGGTCCAGACTATGTTTGGTCTGATCTCTGACCAGGACTAATAGAGAGAGTGAATCTCCCCAACGGGGTCGTAGAAGAGAGCAAAAAAAACCTAGCACTTAACCCTAGCC